AAAATTATTTTTCAAAATAGTTTACTATATGACAAGGTGGGATTTTTTTAATTACAAAAAATAATACTCTAGGCAAGGGGCTTACAATTCAAAAGTCTACAGGAACCAATCAGTAACCAAGTTAAGGGTTTCAACTTTAAATCTACAAGATTATTTTTTATTTCTACTAAACAATATGCTTTCTCTCATTTTTCTTAAATCACTAGACTTCTCCACATATTTATTTTCCTACTTTTAACAGAGGAATATCTTTATAAAATCATGCTTTTCATGTGGGAAATTTAAGTAATATTCACTTTGTTTAATAGAAACTGTTTGAAAAGATATTTTTGGTCATGGTAAAATAAAGTAGCAATGTGAACCACTATTACAGCTTTAATTCTTTCACCTTTTGTACTACTTTTCCTGTGGTTTTTACTGACCTTAAATAAATGCACAATGTAGATAAAAGTAAACGCTGCTGTGAGTCTAAAAAAGGTAATGGGAAATATTCTCATGAAAATTTTATTATATTAGATTACAGTTTTAGCTATTTAAGATGTAGCTATTTAGTTAAGTCAAATGAAAATAAAAATAAAAACATTTTGCATATTTTTAATAAACACAAAAGTTAAAAATAAAGTACAAACCTGCCCTAGGTTAAGAAATGTTACAGCGTATCTTGGATCTGTGCTATCCCTGAAGCCTTCTTGACCACTGTGATAAAATTCCACATTACTTATTCTTGCATTTCCTAGGAGAGGAGAAGATTAAATTTTTCTTTTCTTACAACAGTTGGAATCAAACATTTTTGAAAAGTTGCACAAAGTTGTTCAAATTTTTTCATGAAAACTTCATTAGTTTTTCTTTGTTTCTTTAATCCAGAAAGGCAATATTTATCAACCCCTTTTTTCATTGTTTCCCCCAAAGAATCTTTTTAGACAGTTTTTTTCCTAATCGCCTCCCCTCCCTATAACATTTTAATAACACAGATATAGCATATATTTGTTAATATGCAGTAGCCCTTTGGAGGACCACAAACCCTTATAATATTTAAAACTTTTTGTCCCCCCAAGACCCAAGTGTCACCCCTTTGGGGGTAATAGTGCTCTGTTCAGAATGCATAACATAAGGCATGAGATATAATTTACCTAACATTTCTGTTAGCAGATTGCCCAATAGGTAGAAGTTATAGTGGAATAGCTGTTCACTCTATATAAAGATTTTCTACAATTACAACTGTTGCAAAGTGGAACAGGCAATATTGTGAATAAGTAAGGGCCTACAGAAACAGTTCAAAGCAAGAGTTGATCTAATCCTGCTACCCAGCTTATGGGATAAAAATATCTTCTTCCAATAAAAAGATAGGATTACTTGGAGGAAATGACTGATTCCCAATCTCAGAAAAAAATTACAATATGTGCTTACCATATCAGAAAGTGAAGAGGCTTAAAAAACTAAGTTAAAAGGGCAGGCATCAACATGAAAAAGTTCTGCATGCCAAATGGAGCATTTTGAGTATCAGTTAGATTAACAACCACAGTGGAGTTGAACATATCAAATATATTTAAATCCATGAGCTTATATTGATACTAATAATAAAACAAAATAAGTAAAAACTCTCTGGCACTTTTGGAGGATGCTTGGGAACTAACTCATTATTTTGAAAACTAGTCAATATGGGGAAAGAATCAAGCATTTTTTTCTTGCATTTTCCATATGAACTTTCCTTCAGGGTAGTCAAATGGTTGTTTAGGGGAGCTTCTCTTTGTAGATGTAGTCTAAATTACAGATGAGCAGGGAATGGTAGAATTAAAATACCACCATTTTAAACCTCAGTGATTTAATGGACCTGGCGATAATCATTAA